TCCTGAGTGCTAGCATTACTGCATGTACCTCCATACCCACTGTGGATTTGAATTTGTGATTCTCCTGCCTTGACCTCTCAGAGTGCTAAGATCAAGGTGTGTGCCACCACACCTTGTTTTCTGTGGCAGATCCTTTACTTTCTTTTTGACACCTTTCCATGTGATGCTCTTTTCTCTGCTTTAGAAATTATTCCCTTTATGTTCGCTTTTGCAGAGCTCACTTCTTTCTGTCTTCCTCACTTTAGGGAATACTTCTGGGGCAGCCAGCAGCTTTAACACTAACAGCCTTGTTGCTGTGTCTTACCTGATCAAACAGACTCAAGCCCAGGACAGGAAGGGAGGTGTAGATCAGATTGAAGCAGGTCATAAACCAGCTATCGTAAACTGTCTGGAAGAATATTAAGAGATTTTATTAAGACTCTTTTCTCCAAAGTCCCAGCTCTACCTCCCCAGGTCTAACACAACTGTTCCCTGCCCTACCCCAGGCCTATCTTCATCCTACTAACTTACAGCAAGATTTGAATTCTCACTGAGAGCTCCACTGTCTATCTACTCCTACTATAGTTAGAAGACTGGATCCCAGGTTGAAGCAAGCCTACCTCAAGCTTTCAAAGCCAATCTGAACCAAACCTACTATAATCTGTGTTGTTCCTCCCTGCACAGAAAGAGCCCCAGACTGGTTAATGAAATGTAGCTGTAGCCCTGTACTACCAGACAAACATTTTGGCTCTTTTCTTCATCTGCTTGATGGCATCAGTGGCCTCTGTAGCCTGGATATTTCCTAACACTGGCAAGGGGAATAGAGCCAAGCACTTCTCCAGCTGGGTGCTCCATCCTGGTGTCTAGAGAAGGTCCCTTTCTTCCCTATCCACAAGAGGTCAGCAGCAACACATGCATTACACACCGACCTCCCTCAACCTCGGCTAGTTTCACTAGGTGCTGGGGGTAACAAAGTTCTATTACTGTCTGCTGCTTGGTAGGGTGTCTCCCAGGATAATCATTCTCAAGTAGTTCTTCTCTTGGGAATTCTTGAGAGACTTCTGAAAAGCTTCTGATAATAAAGAGGTGTCCTCTTAGATCCTCAAAATCTGAGTGTCACTTTTCCCCACTGGCGTCATAAAGATTTCATATCCAGGGCTAGGGAGATGGCTCAGGGCTGGGAGATGGCTCAGTAGAATAAGTGCTTCCCTGGCAAGCTCAAGGGCCTGAGTTCAATCCCCGGTTCCACCAAAAAAAAAAAAAAAAAAAGAAAAAGAAAGATTTCATATCCAAAGGTGCAATTAATTAGCCACAATAATGTGTGTGTGTGTGTGTGTGTGTGTGTGTGCACGCAAGTGCTGGCAGGGGCTTGGGAAGTTAGTGTAGTGATGTAAATGGAAGCTGTAGTTCCAAGTATGCTGTAATAGTCTGGCATAACCCAGAGGCTCCTTGAGACTTAGCCTTTTCCATGATTATTTTGGGTGCTAAGAAGAGTTACAGATCTACCAATTTCCCTCATCACAAATGTTTGAAAATTCTACGTCATTGTCGGTGAAAATACATAGTTTATGGTAGAGTTCCTGAAATGGGAGTCAAGGCCAAATCAGAGTCAGGTCAGAAAAGTTACAGTTTGGAGATTTAAAGTGAGTATAGCACTGGAGGATGGGACTAATAGGGGTAGAGAGCATTTTGGATGGATGGCAATGTGTCATACATATCCCCCTTCTAGAAAAGGTGCCAGGAGCAGTCCAGTGAGATGCGAGCTTGCTGGTTCTGCTCTGCATCCTGCAGGGTCCTCCATAAACTATCTTTGGGGTTTTCACCCAGATGGGCATAGCTATTTTTACAGCTCACACAGTGGAGAAAGGCCCTGAGCCTTTCTGAGTAGCAGGTATTCTGGATAAGGTGCAATAAAACATCGAGAGATCTTTTGTGAACGTTTTATTTATAATACACATTTTTGTATGGGAGAGGTTGTTAGGACAGGGTGCATATTTTAATAGAGGATCAAAATTTGTGTTGATTTGTAGGGCTATTTTTCCTTCCAATTTAAAGATTCATTTTGGAAGCTACATTTTAAACTTTGGAATCAAATTGTTTCTTCGGGGGGATAATGTATATATACATTGGTATTGTTAAAAAATAAAATCGTTCTAAATTGGTGCTAAAAAAAAATGTGTCATACACAGGCTGAAGTGAAGGGTGAGTAGAGAAGACTGAGTTGACCAGAGTGGAAACTGACACTGATCACCTACCTGCGCAGAGAAGCCGTTGTAGAAGGCATACCAGAAGTGAACCAGGGTGAAGGTAAAGTTTTTATAGAAGAAGTAGTTGAGAAACTTGCATATGCGATTGTAAGACCAGCGGCCATGGACCAAAAGAAGGCGCTGAAGGTAGTGGAACTGGGAGAAGGAAAAGTCACTGTTGAGCATGGCCTGCATCCCCTCAAGGCCACGGATGCCGACTCCAATGTGGGCAGCTGCAATGAAACCCCAGAAGTTTCTAAACCTCAGAGCTTGTTTATGGGGCTCCTACTTTGAAAAACTGTAAAAGAAATACCAAAGTGATGTTGTATAAATCCCTTATTTTATGTTTGGAAAATACTGCTAGGCCTAGTTCAAAATGGAACTTCCTTAGTAGAGTCTTTTCTCCTAAAAGATTGTACCTCTTCCACCAGTTAGAGAATAGCCCCCTCTACTGGATGCTGTCGCTCCAGAATGCCTGGTTTGATCAGTACTATAAAGCTGTCCCAGACATTCTTTGTCCCTACTCTACAGATTTGAGCTCTTTCCCACTCTCCAGATGGTCAGGTTTAAATTGTTATCTATGAAAACCACATTAATTAAACATGCAGGAAGGATACCAATATAACCAAATATTTAATTACCTAAGTTTATCCAAGGAGCTAATATCCAACTATTGAAAGGAGTGTTACGATGTACACACTTTGTTAGTGAGAAATAAATTTTTCAGGAGGCCTAAGGTGACTTTTTCAAGACAAAGCAGAGGATATACATAATAGAATATAAGACTGAAGTTCCTAAAAGTCTTAAGTGATCTGTGATAATTCACTATTCGGGCCAAATTCACTGATCTTCTGATATAAACCTATTGTATTGTTTAATGGTACAACTGAAATCTCTAAGGCCCTAAAGACCAGCGCGGTTCTAGGAAGTTGGAAAGAGAGCAAAAGCAATTCCTACTATTGAGGTGGAAGCTGGAGCATCTGCTAGTGTTTCCTGCATGGGAAGAGAGGTGAGACTAGAGGACCTTATCGACTGACAAATAGCTCAAGGCTAACAACGTTCACCTGAAATTAAAACTAGTAAATTTCAGCCTTCTGCTTCTATTAGTCCAAATAAATCAATAAATCACCTGTTCTCCTTCAACCATAAGAGCGTGTTCTTGGGAACACAGCCTCAAGCTACACTGGGCCTCACCACCTACAGCCTTCACAAAAGGAACAGGCAATGACTCTGGCCCAGGGGTCCTTTCTTGCGCCATCTAATACAGGTGGTATGTTAGCCACACAGCATGTGGTTCAGGACTCTATGCCCATGCTCTGTGCAACCAGGTGCCTCTCTCTGTGCATGTCATAGTGCAAGTAAATGATCTGAAGGTGTGTAAATGATCACCTATGGACATGGGCTGTCTGCAGGTGTAAAGGAGCATGGATGGGGTTGCAAAACATTATTAATGCATTCTGAACAGGATAGGTAGAATATATAACCAACCAATATATAACCAACCAGATAAGTTTTGGCCATGAAGGAAGGGGCAAGCCACTGCCAGGGATTACTTCCCTTCTCCCCTCACATGCCTTTGATCATGCTGACATCATTGGCCCCATCCCCGATGGCCAATGTTACCGCCTTTTTGTACTTCTTCACCAGCTCAACCACCTGGGCCTTCTGAAGGGGCGTCATCCTGCAGCAGATCACTCCCTTGCACATGCATGCTGTTTGCAGCAGTTCCAACTCCAGGTTCTCTTCTAGAGCACAGGCCTGCAGCACCAACATACATTCAATTCACTCTTTAGGTTGCCCAAAAGACAAAGGGTAGGACTTTCCCAGGCCTCTCTTGTCCCCTCCATACTCTCTTGTCCTTCACAGGACAGGCAAAACTTCTCCGGAGGTACTTACTCACCCCCAAGGGAAGTCAGACCCCAAATCAGATCTGGGCATCTTCAGGTGAGACTCAGCCTCCAATGGGAAACTGGTCTGGGTCTCTCAGTGGGTCAGGCCAGTTGAGGGGGTTATCAGGCCAAATAACTCACAGGGGAATGGCTCTGCTTGCCTTTTCCTTTCCCTCAAGGGACAGGCTACATCATTAGCAAAGAATTTAGATAAGGAAAGAATTTTCTATTGGCTTCTCCTTCTTCTTCTACTCCTGCCTAGCCTAGCTTGGGGAAAGGTATCTTTCAGGCAAGGACCCTTGCAGGAAGGGGAACAGGGTGATTCATAGACTAGGGGAAGTTCCTCAAATTTCCCTGAAGTGGGTTGGACATAGGAAGAGGGTTTTTTGGAAGAAGAGAACAGAGTTGTAGCACTGTATTGCCCACCAGACTGTAGCCACTGATGACCAAGCCATAGTTGCCATTGGGCACCTCGTCAGGTACTATGAAGGGCATCTTGGGCTTTGAGGAAAGACGAACATTTGTTGGGTTTGATTCCAATGAAGTCTCAGGTTTCATCTTGGCCCTTGCTGCCCTAAAAGCAGAGAGTAGTGATCAGAATTTGACCTGAGTCCACAGGACTTAGGAAAAATATGTCCCCAGGTGAAAGTGAGCAAGGCGGGTATAGGGCCTCAAACTTAACTGCTTCCCCAGACTTGCCAGGGGCCTTAGGTGCAGGTCATTTATGTACATGTCACACTTCTCCATCCCTTATATTCCAACTCCTTTACCCTGAATGCTTCCTTATAACATTTTCTCAGACATTAGTTCCCCTCCTTTACTTCTTGCCTGTTTCTTCTGCTAGTGTGAGGGCCACATTGAGGGAAGAAATGAGTGGAATATCTTGGGTCTAGGGATTGCCTCCCACTTGTACCTGAGTTCTTGAAAAACTGTCTCATAATTCTTGCCTTGTACCATGAATACCTCATCCATTTCATCCTCAAATATACTACAGGCATAGGCAATGTTCACAGCAGTCTCTGTAGGAAAGGAAACACAGGCCATATTTGGGTTAGAGTCTCACAGTGTAGAGTTACATAGGGCCTAATGGAGGGCCCAGAGCTCATTTGCCCACCTTTGCCTTGATGCAGTCCAAGTGCATTTTTCATGAATGAGTAGACACAATATACAAACACTCATAGGTAAGTGTCTACTTGGTACAGACTTGCTTCTTAACAACAGGCATCATTCAGGCTTACCCTTCTCTAGAAAACCTTTCCCTGTTTGTGAAAGCAATTCCAGTCTGTGTCTACTTTTCTAGGCAATTAGGATGTTTTTCTTTGAATAGTGATGTGTCCATTTCTATGCCAGATTTGTGGGTCTGAGACATGTATTCTTCCTTATGTTGTAAAATGTGGAATTTGGAATAAATTCATACTAAGAGAAAAAAGTTCCAAATCCTGGATACAAGCTGTAGTATCAGGATTCAGAGAAGATTGCAATTGTCATAGAAACTTTCTTGCATGATGGCTTTAAAAGATAAATAATACTGTTCAGTGAAAGGAAAAAGTATTTGAAATATGAAGTGATGAAATAACCAAAAATAGGCTCTAGAATATAATGGGTTTGAGACATACCAAAGGTAACTGTCACTTTAGGATGGAGATAAGGGCGCAAGGTTAGTAACTGATTCTCAAGGCCTGGAAAGCCAGACAGAGTCTGACTTACAAGGTGGAGTCACTGTGCTTCCCTGACCAGAGGATTAGCATTAGAAAATTAGTATATTTCAGGAAGATTAAACTGATGGTTGTCTATAGGCTATGTTGAAATTAGTAAGAGTAAGACATTGAAATTTTTACAAAAAATAGGATGAATGCTGGACCAGTGTGATGGCATAGTCAAGAAATATTTCAAGCGGATTAGTGGGAGATGGTGAGAAAATGCATCCTTGGGATACCAGAGAGGGTATAGTCGAAGACAGTTTTAATGTTTTAGCTTGTAAATTCCTGGCTGATGGGGGTCATGTTGTCCCTTCTGTTCAATCATTGGTATAGCAACTGACATAAACCATATACTCAGCAAACTATATACAAAACTGGAAATGAAGGTGTCCTATAAAGACTTACTCTGAGTTATAGGTATTTGTCAAGCAAGTTGCTAAGAAAAAAAGTATAGTGAAGAAGGAGAGAAATGGCCAAAGTGGGAGGGAAATAAGGTTGGTCAGGCTAGTAGCTTCCCTTTACCTTGCTTATCTCCAGTTAAAACCCAGATTTTAATTTGGGCTTTGTTCAGGGTGATAATTGTCTCAGGTACTGCGTCTTGCAGCTTGTCTTCTATGGCTGTGGCCCCTAACAGCTTTGAACAAAGATATCCATGAGTGAGAAAAAGGGAGACAGTCACAGCAGTTAGTGCTACCCAACAACTGAACTAGCAGCTCCGCTCTCTCTTTAGCATCCTGGCAGAAGGACCCTGCTGGTATAAAGCTCAGTGCAGTCTGCCTTTCAGCACACACCATTTTTCAACTATACACTGAAATCAAATTTAGAAATGCAACATTAGAGACCAGGGAGAGAAGAGACGTGCTGGGGGCGCATACAAAGTGATGTGCTACTTCTGCACCATCTGATTCTCAACACACCTGCACTTCTTTCTTGTGTCACAGCACACTTCCTGCCTCCAAATGTGTTGAGTCCTGGATGAGAGATCCTCACGTCCTACTGCAGCTTTTCCTTCAGCCTTACCTTCTGGTTTGTGCCTACTGGGGATCTTTAAAGTTATTCAGACCTTCCCCATACTAGATAAACGAATGTTGGTCCAACACCATGCTCTCTCCATAACTCCCAACAGTTCTTACACAGGGGTGGGTGCCAGGCCTGACAGATGAACAAAGTACTGGATGCTTTCTGCCAGGCCTCTAGAGAGTAATCTGGAAGATCTGTGATTCCATTTTTTCCCTTTGGGGTTAGTAATGTCTCTTTATATCAGAGCTGGCCTGTATCAATCTGATCAAAACCTTTTCAGGGTCATTCTTAATTTTTCTTTTTCTCATATCCTATAATCTGGTTTATCAGCAAATTCTGTTGATGCTACTTTTAAAAAGCAATTTATACCAGGCATAGAGTTGCATACATGTAGGGAGGCTGAGGCAGGTAGATCTCTATGAGTTTGAAGCCAGTCTGGGCTACAAAGTGAGTTCAAGGCCAGTCTGAACTGCAAAGTGAGGCCCTGTCTCAAAAAGATAAATAAATGAAAAGAAACAAATTTACAAGCCAGGTGTGGTAGCTCATGCCTGTAATACCAGCACTTGAAAGGCTGAGGCAGGAGGATCACTGTGAGTTTGTGGCCAGCTTAGGCTACATAGTGAATTCAGGGCCAGTCTGAACTACAGAGTGAGACCTTGTCTAAAAAAAAAAAAAAAAAATTACAAAATGTGGCCATTCCTCATCATTTCCACTACTTCACCAACATCTCTCATCTGTACTAATTTAGCTATCTTTTAACTGGTTTCCTTTGGGTCAGCCCTTGGTTCCTCGAATTAGTATAATCCCAACACTGCAACAAATGATTTTAAAAGCTATCTGGCCGAACTGGCTGAACTATTCCACCTTTGCTCTATTTCACTCTTTTCCTTTGTCCTGGCCTCTGACAGCACTCTCTTCTCCTCTCTGTCTCGCGTCCTCACTCATTTTGCTCTAGCCACACTGAGGCCTGCCTGTGTCGGGGGTCTTTTCTCCTGCTACCAATCTGTCTGAAAAGCTCATCTGAAAAGCCAGAGAGTCTCCTAGCTGCCACCCCCTTCAGATATCTTCTCTGATGTCTTTTCAGTGAAGACTAACTGCCCTGTTCAGTACAGCAACAGTGCCTGTCCTCCAGAGCACACACTGTGTGCTAAAGCTCTGTTTTTCTTTGTTTTATTTTTTCTTGTAGCATTTTTACCATGTGAGTTAATATATGTTACTTTTTGTGTTTTCTCCACTTCTAAAGGCAGCGTCTGGCACATGGGATACACCTAATAAATCTGCTGAATAAGCAAATGGATTTTTCTGTCTTGATTATTCTAACCACTTGTTGGAGACTATTTAAGCTGTGCATTGTTTCACATCTTAATTTCTCCAGATTACTTAGTTTCTGTGAGCAGCTTTAGGGGTAAGAAACAGTTATAGAAAGTTAAAAAAATGGGGCTGGGGACTTAGCTCAGTGGCACAGTGCCTGCCTGGCAAGTGTGAAGTCATGAGTTCAGTTCCCAGTACCAAGACACAAACACACACACACACACACACACACACACACACACAGATAAAAAATTACAACCAGTGCACTTTTCATTACAGACTCAGAAGATCCATGGGGTAGTGAATCATCCTGGATTCTAGTGCCCTGCCTTTCTACCACAAACTCTGGGGCTTCCTACTGAACCTGCCTGTCCTTCCTCTCAGAGACAGCCTGTACCTGTCGGCGCTCTGCAGGCCACTCTCAGAGCCCTTGCCTAGTCTCTGGCTACCACCTTCCATATCCCTGCTCCCAGTCTGTCCCAACTTCCTCATACTCACCATCAAGTCTTTTTCTATCTCTTTATAGACAACTGATAATTTATATTCCCGATCCTCCAAAGATAAGTAAGCTGCACTGTGCTTGTGGCTCCAGGTCTGGAAAAATGCAGCATCCAACTCTCGGTAAGCCACCATGAGGGTGCGAAGGCCTTCCGTGGCAAAGTCCTGGAAGACATTTGTGCACTAAGTCAAGCTTAAGTTTGGGCTGAGTTCAGGGAGTGATCCCACAGGTCCCGTCTGCCTGTAACACCGGCTTGGCCGGTTAGCTCCTGGTCTAATCAGAAAGTTCTGAACTTTCTTAACAAAATGTCGAACCAAGGGGCTCAGCATAAACTAAAAGGTTGAAAGTACTTCTAAGAGAGAAGTTCCCACTATGGCTGTCTGCTAAGATTCACAGCAGGAAGCTTGTCAAAAAGATCTGAAACAGTTGTATGCCATCATTTGAAATCAGTCTGGGGAAATGCTCTGAAAAGTTACCATAACTCATGTGTTCTGAAATGATAAAAGATGTGAAAGTAGTCCATAAAAACATCCTGTAACCCTCCAGAAGAGAAGCTTAATAATATTATTACCCTCTAACATATGCAGATGAGCTTAACCTCACTATCTGTCTGAATATCAAACATCTTAGATATAACATGGAACAGGTATTCTCCATCAAGTATTGATATGTTAAACTTTAAATCCCTACAGAATGTGAAGACAAAAAATTTAAAAATTAAAAAAATAGGAAGAAACAATTACATATTTTTACACACAGAAATTTAGAAATTTAACCATATACAACATTGTAGCAGGACAGTCCTATGACCTTTTTTTTTTTGGTCTCTTGTTTTCATTTATTACCTTTTGTAAAAAAACAAACATTTACTTGAGAGACAGTATAGCAGTAATTGGTATGACATGACAAACAGTACGTATTTAGAAGACCACAATGACAGGCATTCTAAGCATGACCCTAGTATTACACGTTGTTATCTTCAGTGCAGTTGCTTAGTTCACAGATATCAGCATATATAGCCGGTCAGGGTGAGAATCCTACCAATTAACTGCTAGTTTCAAAAACCTGCTGAAGATTACAAAGATAACAATATGCAATGTATTAATTATTGAAATTTCCCTACTAATCGGTTTTGAAACTGTCTCATTGCTGTTTGTTTCTCAATAAAATAAATAAATTAAAAAAAACACTGAATAAAGGACAGGCTCTGGAATAAATATGTACCACCGCGCTACTCAGTTTCATAGGTTGGTTAATACTAAACAAACACATTGCAAACTGGGTCTTATTACAAGCTTATTTGCTCAGATTTCATGGGTCAGGGTCAAAACCTGCTGCTTTCCAGTTTTACAACAGTACTGATCGATAATATTACAAATGAAATAAAGGTTTAATCAACAGTAACAATGTATTTTCAAGGCAAAAGACTGTGAAACTAGTTTGATTTATAATCAGTTTTGCAAACATCACATTACTCTTATAGATGAACATTAATAAAACGTTTTATGTTTATAATGCTTAAAAAAATAAATCCTGTAGCCTCTAGGAATCAGTATAAGATAGAAGAACTGTCTTATGTAAGATAGTTCATTAATTTTCTAAATTGAGATATAATTCACATATTATGAAAGTAGTTAATCTGTGATGCTAGGAATCAAACCCAAGGCTTGGAACATGCTACACAAGTGCTCTATCAGTAGGCTATATTGCCAACCCAAAGTTCACCCTTTTATCCTGAAAAATTATTATTATTTTTATCTTTGTGGCACTGAAAATTGAACACAAAGCCATTTCATTGGCTATATCCGTTGCCCTTTTTAAAGTTTTGAGACAGGATCTCACCAAATTGCCAAGTTGCTCCAACAGACACGAACTTGTGATCCTTCTGCCTCAGGCTCCAAGAAGGGATGACAGGTGTGTGCCTAGCTTAAAGTTCTCTTTTAAGGTATATGATTCAGTAGACTCTTTCTTCAGTATATTCACAGAGTTTATTAAATCATTATTCCTAGTCCCAGAATGTGTCTATTACCCACAAAAGAAACATACATTGAATAGTGGCCATTCATTCTCCACTTTATTTTCCTTCCCACCTAATTTATTTTCTATCTACAGATTTGTCTGGTCTGGACATTCATATGAATGAAATAATGACATATTTGGTCTTTTGGCTTCTTTCCTTACTGTTTTAACACAGATCAGCCCTTCATTCTTTTTTATTGTTGAATAACATTACATTGTGTAGCTATACCACAATTTTCCATTTATTTGTTGATAGACATTTGTGTTTTCAATTTTTTATTGTTATTAATAATATTGCTGTGAACATTCACATACAAGTTTTTGTGTGGATATATATTTCATTTCTCTTGGAAATACATATATATTTCACATATATATGAAATACATATATATTACATATATATTATATATATATATATGAAATATATGTAAGAATGGGATTGCTGGGCCATATGATAACTATTTTGCAGTGGCTTTGTCATTTTATTTTTCCATCAGCAATGTATAAGGGTTAGTTTCTTGGCATCTTTGTTGATATTTATTATCATTCCCACCTTTTTCATTTTCACCATCCTAGTGAGTGTAAAATGATACTTCATGTTTTTTATCTGTATTTCTCTTAAAAACTAATGATACTGAACACTTTCTTCATGTGCTTATTGGCTATTTGTCTCTAACTACTGGCAGTATAAGCATCTTCAAGTTGTCTAATAAAATGGCATTTCATCTAATTTATTTCTTATGGCTTTCTTTGTGCCCCTCTCCATCTTGTACTTTGTTTTTTCCTTATTCCCCTAACATTTTACATACCCAAGTTTAGGGATAGCAATCCCAGAGGATATGGATCTGGTTTTGCTTTCATGTGCCAGTAGGCTGGAGCCACTCTCTTTTCACTATGTCTCAAATCCTGGAGGGTAGAAATAGAGTAAGAATGGGAGAGGGGAGGTACCCTTGAGGATCCTAATCCTGTAGGTAGCAGACAGAGGTATCACACAACCCCCTCAGTGGCCCAGGCTGGTGCTTTCCACTTTGTATCCTAACAGCAGTCATTTTGGCTTGTGGAATAGGCCTTCCATATCAGCCGTCCCTGTGCTAGAGCAAACACCAGAACTGACCATAGGGCAGGAAACACAGAACTATTCTAATCATTGCAAGTGCTCCCAAAGACATGATCCTTGTCCTGCCCCTGGGGGTCCTGTCCGACTCTTCTCCTTGCCATAGAAGTTGGCTATGTGGTCAGGGAGAATCCCACAGAATATCAGCTTTAGTCTTCAGCCAAGTAAAGTGACACAGTTACCAATATACACACATACAAAAGCACCCTGACACAGGGACACACTGGTGAACACGCATCCTAATATAGAGAATCACTCACAGCTTCCTTCTCCTGCCACCTAAACACTCACATCTAAGTGTTCCATGGTCACATCGATGAGGTCTGTGCAGGATGACTGGAGCAACTCACAGATGATTGTGTCTGCCCCCTTGCAGAAAAGCATTAACCGATCTTCAGGCGTCCGCACTAAAGGCAAGCAAAATAAGCAAAGTAATTCTAAGAACGTATCATTATAAGAACTCATCCATATCATTGACGGATGGCAGGAGGCTGTTCCCCATGACGTTTGTTTCTGCTACCTTGGAGGGTAAGGACTCAGTAAGTGGTCACACACAGGATAAGGGACATGGCAAGAGTGACAGAGGGACTTCTGGAGCCCATTCTCTCATGGGTTCAGTATCCTCTGAAGATTAATACAGAATAATGTTAGACTCTGGATTCCAAGTCCCAGGCCAAAGGCCATACCCAGTAAGGACCAAGGGTTAAAAATGATCTTTTTAAAAATTCTTAGGCCAAAGCTAACTGAGAGAGCAAGATAGTATGAATTCCCCCTATACTGTCTTTGAGTGTCCCTGTAGACGAGACCCTCTCCCCCTGTACGTACCAAAACTCAGATGCTTATACACCTTATATACAATGGCGGAGTATTTACCTGTGCATGCCCTGCTAAATATCTGAAGTCATCTTTAGGTTACTTATAGTACCTAATAAAATATGAGTGCTGTGTAAATACTTTTAGTGTTATAACAAGAGAAAGTTCAGACATGTTCAATGCAGACACAATTTTTCTGTTTCTAGTGTTGGGGATTAAACCCAGAGCCTCATGCACGCTGAGGATATGCCCTATCACTGGCTACAGCCCAGCTCAGATACAATTCTTGCTCCAAGCATTTTTGCTCTATGGTCGGTTCAATCCACTGATCTGGAGCCTACAGACAAGGAGGGCCAGCTGCCTTATTTGCTTCCATCTCTTACTCCATGTTCAAGTGTTACAGATGCATTCTCTGCCTTTATCTTGGCTTTGAGGATGCTGGCAAGCCCCTATCCAGAAGCATGAGAGAGGGGATTTAGCATATGGTAGTGAGTCCTCAGAGGTGCATGAAGGAAGTAGCTAGGCGAGGTGGCACATGCCTGTAATCCCAGTACTCTGGAGGCTGAGGCAGGAAGATGGCTGTGAATTTGAGGCCAACCTGGCTACAAAACAAGTTCACGGCCAGTCTCGACTGCATAGCAAAATCCAAACTTAAAAAGGACTAATAATAATAATAATAATAATAATAATAAGAAGAAGAAGAAGAAGAAGAAGAAGAAGAAGAAGAAGAAAAAGAAAAAGAAGAAGCGAGAGAGAAAGTACAAATGGCTGCGTCTGAATGTTCGGCCCCTGGGGAAGGGCCTGTAATAAGGCATGTGATGGGAGAAGCACCTGTGTGTAGAAGACAGAGAAAAATCAATGTGGATGTGTATGAAGGGCACAGATGGGGAGGGGCACCCACCAATAACAGACATCCTCTTGCGGACATTGCTGAAGTCTAGAATAGCCAGCAGCTGGTAGACTCTGGTCACTCCCATTTCGACCACTGTGATTGTATCAGACGTGCGGGAACGGAACACAAATCCAAAGTTTCTGGCAGCAGTGACAAGGGCACCTTCGTCTGGGGACTGAGCCTGGTACACCAGCTCACCTACAGGAGACGAGAAGGCACCCCAGGGTGAGCAACTGCAGTCTGCCTGAAAGCAACACTGTCTTCCAAGTGGTTTAGATTAAGATGCAGCCCACGAGGTATATTGTTCTTCCAAACTGCCTCCCAAGTCTGGTCCTAAAGCCCATGTTGCATAGAACATGTCAGTCTCTTTCCCTGTCTAATATTTTCAACTCATGATACACAATATATGCAATGTATACAAACAAACAAAACACAGGCAATTACTTTTCAATTCTAGAGGGTAAAGATGGCTGGGAGAACTAACAAAAACACATGTTCTTGGGCCCCAAACAAACTCATTGAATCCAGGATCATAAAATCTGGAAGGAGGGCCCAGGAAATTGCATTTTCAACAAATCCCTTGGGTGATTCTCACGTATGTAACATAAAGAAGGTGCTCTTGATAAACTGGTCACACTTTGATAAGTGTGGTGAACTATCTGGCCAGTCTTGAATTTGATTTTTAAAACAGGCAATATCAGAGTCTCATAGTTGTAAGGTTGGTTAGGAGTATGATTTTGGAACAGGCATAAGATGTATCCACTGGAAACTAAGACTGTTTCCTTCTCACCCTTTTTTTTCCTCTCCCTTCCCCTGTCCTCCCCTCCCCTCCCTTCCCCTCCCCTCCTTTTCTCTCTCCTCTCTCTTCCTCTCCTCTCCTCTCATTTTCTTCTCTCCCTTTTCTTTCCTCTTCTCTTCTCTCCTCTCTCCTCCCCTCCCCCTCCCCTCTCTCCTCTCCTTTCCTTCTCTCCCTTTTTCTCTTCTCTTCTCTTCTCTTCTCTTCTCTTCTCTTCTCTTCTCTTCTCTTCTCTTCTCTTCTCTTCTCCCCTCCTCTCCCTTCTCCTCTCCTCTCCCCTCCTCTCTCCTCCCCTCCTTTTCTCTCTCCTCTCATTTCCTTCTCTTCCTTTTTCCTTCTCTTCTCTTCTCTTCTCTTCTCTTCTCTTCTCTTCTCTTCTCTTCTCTTCTCTTCTCTTCTCTTCTCTCTCCTCTCCTCTCTTCCCCTCCCTTCCTTTCCCCTTCTCTCCCTTTTTCTCTCTCCTCTCGTTTCCTTCTCTCCCTTTTTTCTTTCCTCTCCTCTCCTCTCCTCCCTTCCCCTCCCCTTCCTCCTGTTTGTTTCTTTCATTATCTTCCTGAGACAGAGTCTTGCTATGTTGTTCTCACTAGCTTTGAACTCACTACGTAGCCCAGGCTTGTGGATCTGCTCCTACTTCAGCCTCCCATTTGGTGGGGAGGGAGCTCACAGGGCCATGAAACTTGAGGGTTTTT